ATGTCAAAGGCGGCTAAAAAGGCTATTTGTTTGGAGTCTTTTGTCTCAATTCGACCATTTCAATTGTCAATAACAAATGGCGGCGAAAGAGCTTTTCAACGAGGTCTTGCAAGTGCCTCATTACAGCAATGATCCATTAGCTCCTATCGAGGTGCATAGGGAAACGACAAATATTCTAGCAAAGAATTGCAGAACTCCTTAGTGTGGGTTCTTTAGATACTTTATACATGAAATTTCTCCAAATTTTTATAGCACAGGCAGGTCTCTAACAGCCGCTGGGAGGTCAAGTGGGTAACGAATGAACCGCTTAGAGGACCGGTGCAGTTTCTGCAGGCCTAACCGATAAGGTCAATTAGTGTACGCAAATGCACCTTCGAAAAAATGTCGGGCGCATGTGCTTTTACTTTAAATGCGCTTAATAGCCTCGAAAGTCTACTTGGTAAATTGACGGAGCATCTTCGCTCATAAAGTTTGTCTCCATAAGATGGAAATAATAATTTAAAGTATAAAAACGCATACTGGAATAAAATCACTTACTTAAGACAAACGCACACGAAGGCCTTGAACCGCGCCTTCTCGGATGGCGCACCAGGCAGAGCCTTCACCTGGGACAGGGCGTTGTTCAGAATATGATAGGCGACCCCAGTTAGATAGGCAGCTGTCGGGGGGGAGACAAAGTGAGAAAGTGTTGGTACTTAAATATTCAGAAAGCATATTTATAAGGAAGGAGTAGTCTTGGTGAGGTAGATACTAGATAGGTTTGCTTCGTCACTGCAATCCAATTCCTGATCAAGGCACTACCGCATCCTTTGAATAGTTTTGGTCCTCGTTGCTTACAAGGAAAGATCTATTAGTCATGGCAAACGGGTGGTCACTTGGACTGTGAGGGGGAAAGTAGACTCATAGTTAGAGTGGGTGCTGAGACAATGGTCATTTTTCTGTTGAACCTCTGGAGCGGGATATATGGGTGTTTAATAGCGGTCGTCCCAGCAGAAAATGGCCCCAGTCTGCACTGATAAACCAACAGAATCGTTGTATCCAGGTCAGTGCTCCAAATATGCATTATCTAGCAACGGAACAGTACGACAAATAAGATCGCAACGGTAAGGAAGACATATGATCGAGCACCGGAACGAATTGTATTTTATTCTGAGCTTTCGGAGTCCTGCGGGAGTACATCGTCAGAGATGGTAAAACAGCAACAAATGGGGTGGCTATTTGTGGCGTGTGTATAATAACTAAAAGTTGAACGTGTGTTTGTGCCGCCGACCGCAACGTATACTTATGCAGTAGGTTTCATAACCAGTTCACTTTAATTTCCCTAGAGAACGCGTGCAAATCGCAGTTTAGCGACTGATTAACAAGTAGGCGTTCCGGATTCATTATGGCACCTCATTATTCATTTCGGAGACTTTACTTAGCCGTGTGAGGAGGGCCTGCACAAGTCACGATGGTAATGGTTCGGGTGCCAGCGATGTGTTTTAGTATGGCGGGCGTTTGAAAATGCCTTCTGTTTGATATGTCCTTTTGAGGTAAGATACAGCAGACTTGTAGGGGGAATCAACGCGCAGAGCAGATGAGACAAGTTTTGCACCTTTTACGTCAATATCAGTCACTAGACAATAATCCCGTGATGTTGATGAAGCGGTCGAGAACTTCACTAGACAGGAAATTCCCCTCGGGCACAATTGAATCGGCTGAGACGCATTTGTCTCCTTTTTGAAGACAAAACATTGCTTAATTGGCTTTGAGCACAGAACGGAGGCAGACGTAACGAGTTGAGAGTGGCAGAGGGAAACGTTTATGAGGGAGGAGACGGAAGTAAGAGCGCGGTACGGGCCTAACAAGATTTACCCCCGGCTCCCTGCGACGCTCCAATATGAAACATCATTCACGTCAAATTATTAGGGAGGAGAATAATTCCTTTGAACCACTTGTAAAAAACTCGGCGGCCTCCGTGGAATTCGAACCCACGCTAGCAGAAGGCCGTACTACAGTCAACTGAACTATAAAGTCCCCACCGTGAGCCAGCGGGAGGGTAACTTGACCGAAGTGTGATTAAACCCACGGTTCCCAGTGCAGGCCTCGTAACTCAATTGGCTACAACGTTGGCTGTTGCCAAAGCCTTCCTCTTGAGGATATAGGTTCGAATCCTAACGCCCTCTTTCACAAGCGGATCAAATGGAGTTAGGGTAAACGAATCGGCTAGGAGTTAACCTAGACCAGTAAATCTAGGTTTCTTATTTCCTCAACGCAGCCAAAAACGAAAAATCCAAAAATGCAAATCTAATTCTCGACAGTCTTTTTAGACGCTACTAAAACTGTTTTAAGTTGAAAAGACGCCGTGTCTGCAATTTTAAACTGCTTTTCGAAAAACTAGCAGACGAACACGCACTTCTCATCCCCTCCCCCGGTACATTCACCACTTTTGGGATGAGCAATGAACACTCGGCGGACTGTCGAATACTAGACAGTAAGCCCTCAGCGCTCGCCGGCTGCGTGCACACCCAACGCTGCATACGTCAACTGCTATGCGCCTATTAAGCGGGCAGGATACGCCACTTTATCGAACAGTTGGCCGCGCTTACGCTTTACCGTTCACACCGACGTCGCCATAGTAACCAAAATCACAGACGTAGACAAAACAGCAATTGATAAATGACAGGAAAAAAGTGCCCAGGCTTAGACGACAGGCGATACGAGCCGGCAAACGGCTGTATAGGCGTGTTATTTTTAG